GATACCACGCCAAAGACAGAGTGTTGACATGCATTTGCGATTTTCCATTCTTTAGTGCAACCCTGAGCTGGTCAAAATGCAAGGGATTCTTGACCGGGAAATCTGGTGGCAACCTTTAGATGCACACAGAACTGCAAGAGTCACTAGACTAGTCACTAGACCTTCAACAAATGCATGAAAGGGTTCGACTTTCTTTTGCATTTTGAAGAACACATCAAAAGCATTCAAAAGCCAGTTTTAGTCTTGGCAAATTTTGGAAGCAATGCCACAATTGATATCTGCCAGTTGGAGGGCATTTACAGCAGAGTCAGAGACTGTTGAGGATCTATGGGCCAGTTTGATCAATGTGCAAACCACACATCCAACTTTTGCAGGAAATCGATCAAGTCTCCAGTACTTAGGACTCCTTAGAAGGACATCAGTTCTGGTCTTGAAATCAGTAGACTACAACAAACTAGTTGCGAATACGTTCCCCGATGCCAGGAAGGGCACTCCGAATCTCACGTTCCGAGGCCATATTGTTTGGTTTCATTTTGGCAGAGTTTGGAGACTATATATATATATATATTTATAAACAATACAATATACACAGTATATTTATCCAGGAAAGTATAGTTTTTTACCCTTGATAAGAACTTCTTTGGCAACTTCTGGCCGGCAGGGGATGCTGTCAAGCGAGCCCTTCCCAACCTATCGCAGTGTGGAGCTTGGGATGAAGCTGGATGGGTTCAGCCGCGAATGCAGGACTTTGGCAGATTGCATCCTTTCAAGAGCACAAGATTAATTCAACAAACTTCCTATAGTTTTTATTGATCAGCGGAGGTACCTCAGCACTCACACCATCAAGATGGCAAGAGACCTAGCGACAGGTGCAGTTAGGTGGAGGAGCTGCAGTGCTTGACCAGGAATGCAGACTTTTCGAATCATTCTCATCATGATGGATTCTGTATTGGTAGTATACTGTACAAGTTACAACCCAAAGAACCCAGTCGTGTCGCATGGTTTGAGGCCCTCCTTCTGCTGTCCCAGCACCCAGAATACAGTCCAACTGAGTTGGTACCATGAGTTAGTGGTGTGCAAACCTGACTGTGTTTGCTCTCGTTTGGACTAGCTTGAGTCTGACCAGTGTGGCTTTGCAATGTTCGGGATCCACATGTTTTTGTCCGATAGTCTTTCGACTTCAGCCAGTCATGCAAGTCATGCGGAGCATGCGAATCTCAGACCAATCCACCAAGCAACGCTCACGTTGGCTATGGACTGGGCGAACCAGCTTCGTATAGGTTGTGCTAGCGTGTAGTGTGAAATCTGAGGACCGCAACGCCACTGGATACCACAAAAAGCCCCTGGTAGGTATTGGCATCGACGTGCATCTTCAGGTCATGTAGTTTCCATTCACGGTGCCTACGACCCCACCCAAACATGGAACAGTTGTTCTAGAGATGCAGTACTGCAGGCTTGGTGCTTGACAAAGAAACACCTGGACCAGTCAAAACCACAAGAAACTATGTTCAGAGTAGGACTAGACTGTCTTTTTTGAAGCTTGGGTGTGTTGAAGCCACTGGCACTTTCAGAGCAAATGAATACAGAGATATATTGCTGCGCTTTGTAGGGTTCGACTCAAGGGAAACTAAAGATTGAAAGGTGCATTTGAAGCCGCAATTCCTGTTGCAGAAAGGTGCCTCTAGGCAAGACTGTGTAGAATGAGATTGAGAGGATTTAGTTTTGCATATCAACAATCGACAGTCAAGGGATACTTGTAACTCCCGTGTTTACTGTTGCAACGTGTGAATTGTGACTAAACAAGTCAGCCAAGTGAGACATAGACATGTCAAGACTTGGCTTCTGTCAAGACTTGGCTATCACTGATCCTGTTTGGACACATACACTCCGTGAAATGCGGCTAAGTTCCTGGCGACACCAGACAGGCGTGGGTGAAATTCAGTTCAGGAATTTGATGTGCAAAGCCAATTGGTCCTTTGAAGGGGGAGTGAAAGGCGATTTTAGTTTTTCGCACAGTCGTTCACCATACCTTGCGCATCCGTGGCGATTTCAGGCCCAGGCCGATCGCGCACATCACCATTTCGAAGACCCTGCAGCCACGGCCGAAAACAGCACAGCCACGGCCACCGCCGAAAGCTTTGCAGCCACAGCCGAAGGCGAGGCCGCCACAGCCAAAAGCCAGACCCCCACAGCCAAAGGCTATGCCATTTGTGCGGGCACCTGTGCAGGGTGCAAAGTGAGTTCAAAGGCGAGCAAGGTTGGAGACAACTAAGTGATAGACGTAAAAACTTAACGTTTTTTGATTTTCTTGCTATACATTGTTTGATGAATCAGGCGACTCAAGACATGGTTAAAGTCGTCCACAGGCCATAGTGGCAATACGTTAGTGGGAGGATGGGAAACAAGTCAATCTGAATGCAGCCTTTAGCACTGCAACTGCAACTGTCTATCCTGACTCTGTCTTGATTTGCCCAGGCCCAAACACTGCACGGTGCCAAGATCCGAGAAGTCGAAAGGATCAACATTCCTGAAGCACTGCTTGTTTCGTACATTGCATAGGGATTTCCAACGGTAGAGTACGGTTACATGGGATTGTCAGCAAGTATTGTATGAAGTGTGCTCGCATCAAGGCCTCCGGATATGGATGGTAAGCAGCCGTGCTGCTCTCAGTGCTCCATATCAGCAAGAGCAAACAGCACAGTCCTTCTAGAGTAAAGTATATTATGATTTATAATTTTCTCTCTCTCTCTCTCTCTACATATATATATATATGTGTGAACAATTGAACTTAGTTGATCCTTGACTGCAAAGATAGATTTTTGCCCGCATACTGCTAGTGTGATGGATATTGCTGGCAGTACATGCCACTGAGACTGAGGCATGGTTGCAAGTAAGCTAGACAAACGCTGCCTCCACATATGTTTTCTGGGGAGTTTTGCTAGAGTGCTGCACTGCGGGCTTTCTGAAGTAACAGCTTCTCATTGCAGCAGAACTGCTTATTTCAGTCTATCCGTTGAGGTCAGGATCGAAATGCGTGGTGCAGTCGTATTCCCAGCTTCGTTGTCCGCATTGCTTTGAGATGTTGCATGAAGGCTCGTGTCGTTCCAGCCAAGGCCTTCCAAACGCCGAAACAGAGACTCACAGCCTCCGAGCGTTGACTCAAAAGCCAAGAAGACACTCAGCAGCAATTGGGATGTGTTGGACATTTGATGCAGTGATGCCAAAGACACAGGATGTTTGGCATATTTTTGCTTTGTCAGTTTGACGCTGCAAGAGTCAGCAAAACTTAATGCTGCAGCCGAGGCCTCGAGGGAGCGTGGGTGAGATGTTGCAGTCTTGGCCCGAGAAACTTATATAATAAACAAGAAGCTACTGGTACTAGTAACAAGGGATCGCTACTAGATTTGCAGCGATGGCAAGCTTTGTCACCAGTACACCAAAGCTTCACCAACAGCACTAAACCAAACAAAACGACCAAATTGTAAGTAGATTATTGTTCGCAGCACAGTAAGAATCACCATCATCATGATCATCATCATCATCTTCTTCTTCTTTCTTTCTTTCTTTCTTTCTTTCGAGACGCCCTCTGGTCGAAGAGGTTGCGTTGACCCCATGGTGAGAAGGGTCGGCACTTTACTCCGAAAAATCATGAGAAAGACCTTTCGAGCTGCAACGCCAGTTGTCGACTTGAGTCCTGTGCGTTGGCGATTTGAGCAGCTCTCAAAAACCTGTTCAACACTCCAGAATTGAGCAGGCATGGACAAACATGCTCATCAAGTGGCTCTTTTCGAGCTTGGTATGGGTGGCAGGCACAGACTCTTCCAGGCCTGGCTTCCACCATGAAATCCTGCATCAGTCCCTCAGTCAGCGGCTCAGCTGCGTGGAAGAGCTCAGCGTGCTGCCGGCACAGGTGCTCCAGGAGGTTGGCCGGCTGCTTGTTGCAGAGCACGCAAGTGAAGACCAGAAGACGGCACACGTCTGGCCAGCGCAACAGCAGCTCGATATCGAGTCCGTCGATCGATTTCAGCCAAGATGCGTGCCATGGGCGTCCTGGCGGTACGGCATGCTTGAGGTTGTCCATCATCTTTTCTCTGCACAGCTGCGCCAGGGTGCCATCAGCTTGCGGTTCTGGTTCTGGATCTACGAGCATTGCTCCACCATGCTGGCTTTGCAGCCAGAGTAGACAGCAATTCCTTAGTGCAGTGTCCGGTAGCGCTGGCGTGAGGGTTGGAGGGGCATCATCATCGAGTAGATACCATGTGGCCTTATCTCAGATTGCTGTCCTATAATGTCCAGAATGAGGATCCTCTCCCAAATGAATCGACATTGCAACCACTTCGAAGGGGACCCTGTCAATGTCCATGGAGGAGTTCGTGAAGTAAGGGAGGAAGACTGGTAAGGTCCATTGAAGTTTCTGGAAGCTTTTGTTGCCATCTTGATCAAACCGATCTATTTGGATGCACAGTAGATCGGAGACCCCTGCCAAGGCTTGGAGGCCATAAGATTCCAAGCTCCATGTCGTGATCGGATCCTGAAGTTCTGTGGTGTCAGCGTTTCTGCCATCACAGAGGTAAAGTCTCATTGGGCAGTAGTGTGATCCGCTGTCTAATGTTTTCACCTGGGCATCTGCGTCCACTCTGGCCTCCCAGAGATTGCTAAGGAAACAGGGTGCTACCGGTCAAAGAAGGTAGTGGGTGAAGTCAACCAAATCATGCTGTGCAAATGAGCG